CGGATTGTTGTTGGGGGCAATATGCTGACTCTGTAAACCGCTTAGAGAGGGCTGAAAGCCCTATGAAGCGGTATATAAGTCAAACTGCTATTGCTATTAGTTGATGTGGGCATTCTGAAATCCCAAAACAGCTCTTTTGAAGTTTTGTATTAATTTGATTGATGGAATTTTAAAAACAAACATGTTCCTTTTCCTGACAGCAGATGAGGTCATGTTCAATGGTTCAATATATGGAAGTCAACAAGACATTGATGCTCAATGTGGAAAGTCAAGAGAGAGACAGGTTACAACCACAGAACCTATTACAGACAGATAACTCATGGAAAGGAGGCACCACCTACCTTTAAACCTGTCATATCAATAGAAGCTGGGGGGGGGGGGGGACTCAGTTGATTGAATGGACAGTAATTTGTGGGTTTTGCAACCATATCATGACTATTTGATGGTTACCACTTCATAGTAACGTATAGGCAGTACTCAACTTACTGCCACAATTGTGAATTTTTATAGTACAGATATAAAGCAAGTCATCACGTGACTGAGCCCATTTCTACCCTATTTGTTGCCAGCTGGATGAATCTTAGCCAATCACTCTCTCTCTCAGCCTAACCCTCACAAAGTTGTTGTTGTGGGGAAAATAGGAAGTGGAAGGTGTATTGGACACGTTCGTCGCCTTGAATTGTTTAAAGGCAGGATATAAACAAACAAAGTGGTCATTAAGCAAGCCAGCTTTGACATTTCCCATCAGAAACCAGCTGGGAAGATTGCAAATTGTAATTATGTGTTTGCGGGATGCGGAAACTGATTGTTAATGTGGTTCCCAAGGGCCTAAATTGCAGTCCCATGATTATGGATGGTGCAATAATTGTAAGTGTGAAGATAGGTCACTTTTTTCGAGGCCGTCATAACTCTGAATTGTCATTAAACTAACAGTTGTACGTAAGGATTGCCTGTATTAAGCAATGATATTCTTTGTTCAAGTTCCAGTTAAAACTGTAACTACTGTATCTCATCTTTTAATATATTTTTCATCCTGCCCATTCCTGCACTACATTTCACGCAGAGATCCGTGACTTACAACCACAATTGGAACCAGAATTTTGGTGATATGATGATTGTAAGTCAAGCATCCACGTGATCGGACTCAATGTTATGACCATTTTTACAGCAATCATAAGTCTGAATCGCATAGCTGATTCACGAGCTGTTCATCAGTCCAATTCTAGCTTTCTTATTGTCTTTTCTCATTTAAACTACTGAGGTTCTTATAATCTTCACATTTTTCTTCCTTTTGTGAAACCACAAATATCAGAAACAATTAAAAAACTACTCAGCAAAAACTAACTCTCAGTTTAAGGAATAGTTTCTATTTCTGTTTTATGTCTCATTAGAAAGACAATATACTGTAATACAAAAATTACCATTTCACAATGTTAAATCACCCAGATTTTTTTTTCTATATTTCTTCAAAAGCAAAGATCTTAAAATGGGCAATATCAACATTTTTGAAAGTTAATAATTTTTCTAATTTTTTACCTTGGGAGACAAGGTAAGCTTATATTAATAAATTCTGAAGATTGGTTTGCTACATCTGTGTGTTGGGAACTATTCAAGTATACCCAGTGGGGAGATAGAACAGAGTTATTTGTTCTTAAAAAGTTCACTGGAAAGAGATAATTTCAAAAAAAAGGAGATAATACAGATACACAGGAGGAACTGGACATTCAAAGCAGGGTGGATTTGATCTAAATCAAGTCGATTTAAATCATGATTTAAATCACTAGTAAAAAGGCTTGATTTAAATCAACTCAATTTAAATCATAATTTTTAAAGAGCAAATATCATCTCTGCCCTGCAGCAGCTCCTCCTCTGACCCACTGTTGACTCATCGACATTCCTAATATTTCAGAATATTACAGCCTCATGCTATATAACTAAGCTCCATTTCATGCTGAATAAACTAAATTATTAATGTATCTTAAATATAAAACTATATTTAGATAGTTTTACTCCAAAAGCATTTTATTGAAATAAATTTGATTTTAAAAAATCTGATTTAAATTTTAAAAAAACTTATTTTTTATTTTTTAAAAAAAAAATCATTGATTTTTATCCACCCTGATTCAAAGAGATTTTCAAAATATTGTAGCAATTTTCTTGCAAGCAACATGCAATTTTTGAAGTATTCCAAAATCTTATTTCCAAAGACAACACAAAACTATATTTTCTTCTCTGTGAAAAATGATGTCTATATTAATAATGCACAAAACTGAAGCTCAAATTTGTTCATTTTTCCAACATTATTTACTGATTTTGTTAAGTTGTTCTTTTAATATATGCATTTGTTGTATGCAAATTTTTCTATTGCAATGTTTTTCTACCTGGAATGCATTTTGTGAACTTTTAGCAGAAAAGACCAAGAAAGAGTACAAATATTTACATAAGTGTAATTGTTTTTCAATTTACATATTGGTATAGGCAATGAAAGTTAGAATTTCTGCACTATGCCTCCCCTCTACACACCAGTCATAAACCAAATGGAATTATTATACTTATTAATTATTAAATCCAGTAGTTTCATATTATAACTCTTTAATGAATGCGTGCGTATGTACGTATGTATGTGAAAGATGGAAGCACTACTGTTCTGGACAAAGAACAGCTAAAATGACAATAAATTATTACACTATTAATTTCTAAATTAATGTTTTTACATTTGCATAATAAGGTTAATCAAGAAGTCATTGTTAAGTAATTAAGAACCCTTGAAAAGAATCTCTGAATAATCTCTGAGGATGAAAAAATTCTAAACAATAAAACAAATGAAGGCAGCAATCACAGTACATCTGTCCTGTTGTTAAGAAATCTAACAAAAGATATATCTATCTGCAAGCAAGTTCATGTACACATATCCAGGATGATTTTTTCATATGCAGAAAAGCTTTTATGTGACCTCTTTTGAAGGGGGAGAAGAATAGAGAGGTTTGATTTCAGACCTCTGCTTTCAAATAAAAGTTCTTGGATCATGTTTTCATCCTCTGGGAAAAAACTACACAAAATTAGGCCAAGACTGCAGATATCAAATTCTGATTTGAGGCAGAAGGTAGGGATAGGCAATTTTGGTTATAGAAGGAAAGCAATTCCATGGGGGGTTCAAAATTACATAAATTCTGGTGTGTGTGTGTGTGTGTGTGTGTGTGTGTGTGTGTGTGTGTGTGTGTGTGTGTTACCAAATTTAATTTGAAGAAATATAAACATAAACATGTTTGCCTACCTGAAAAATTCGAAGTTGAGACACGCTTTAGGAAGGAAAAATTTGTCATCCTGCTTGAACCATAGTTTGCACATAGCAGTATCCTGCATTTAAGAAAAAAGCACATTTTCTATTAAAATAATTTTCCAGCCGGAGGGGCTTGCACTGATCTGCTCACTGTGGCTATCCGCGAAGGTTGGGCCGATGGCAGGGGAGACCTGCTCCAGGCCCACCGCGCTTGGCCAAAGGGTGTGTGTTGCGAGTGGGCTGGCCGGCAGGGACGATGTTTGTCAGCGCAACCTTGTGGTCCCTGGCCACCTCCTGCCCGCTGGCAGCCACGGCAAACAAGGCACCTCCTCCCTAGGCCCCCGTTCCTCCCCCGAGAGCCAGACAAAAAGCCAACCAGTTGAGGAGTGGCTGGAAGGAGAGGAGTGAGGCCAGCCAATGATGGGATCAGCAGGTTCGCCAAACTGCAGAAAAAGTTAGCTACCAGTTCGTGCAAACTGCTGCGAACCGGTTGAAACTCACCACTGGATTTTATATGTACATGCATGTCTGCATATGTGTTGTGGCCCAGCAGAAGCCGTTGGAGCTGCCACCAGACTCCGACAGCGAGGGGCCCTATGAGTCAGCTCTGGAGGATGTGGAGGACCTTGGACAGGGCTCTGCGCAGGGCGCAGAGAGGCTGGTTGGCCACCAGGAGGCGCCTGAGCCTTGGACCAGTGGCGAGGAGACAAGGGAGTGTGATCCGGACGTCATGCATTGGAGCAGTGGGGAGGAGCCAAGGGAGTTGTTCCTGGATGCCAGGCACTGAAGAGCTAATAGGCGTAAGGAAGTTACCCAGTTACAGGAGATAATTGCACTCAGATGGCGGTAATTAGGCCCCTCTCAAGTCTATAAAAGGAATGATTGTGCACACGCCTTTTTGCAGGAGTCAACGTATTCACTAAAGTTGGAGAACTTTCGGGGCTAGCTTGGCAGGCTGGCTTGCTGCCAAGGTCCTGTCTGTGTGAATAAATCCTTGCAGTATCTTTGTCTTGGCGTGCTTTGGTGTAGGACGAGGGGGGTCAGAACAATATGTAATCGTTGAATCCTGGAAACTACATGGACAAATCCCTGCAGATTTTTGGGGAACATTTTCAGTAATGGCTGGCCACTATCTTTTGGGGGCTAAGATATAGTGATAGGCTCAAAGTCACTCAGATGGACTTCATGAGTAAGGCAGGACTAGAATTCAGGATTTCCTGCTCCTATTTCAGTACCATTATCACTAGACCAGCCTGCTGTCTGCATTGTATAATAAGATTGTGCAATTTGATCTGGAACTAAATTTCGAAATTACATTAGAAATCCAAATTAAACAATTTAATGAATATGAATGGAGCTGGTGATTCACCAAACTAGCCTATACAGCACTACTGTAAAATCACATTCACTATTATTAACTATGGAAGTCAAATATACCTTAATTAGAGTTGGGTACTGTGGTGCTTCCTTCTCCAAAGATACAATTTCAAAGTTAGTAGGAATAAATTCATTTTTCATTGGAAGTTTGAATTTCCCATTAAGGTCAGCATTTTGCCATTTCTGTGTAAAAGAAATGTAAATAAATGGAGTATTTTTAAAAAATAAATTGCAATTAAACCCTGCTCACGTTTAGACATTTGTATTTCTCAAAATTGTAACCAAAATTAAAACTGGTTAATAACGTACTGCAATATTTGATATATGATTGTTACTGTCCAGAGTCCATTGTTTTTATTTTCTTTGTAATCATAATGCAGAATATGACAAGCATAAGCTGAGAATTGTTTCCATACTATAACCATCACATTGGATTATCAGACTGTTCCATACAAATATTACCATGAAGATAGCTGTCATTTGTCAGCTTCAATAGCAATAGCAATAGCAGTTAGACTTATATACCGCTTCATAGGGCTCTCAGCCCTCTCTAAGCGGTTTACAGAGTCAGCATATCGCCCCCACAGTCTGGGTCCTCATTTCACCCACCTCGGAAGGATGGAAGGCTGAGTCAACCTTGAGCCGGTGAGATTTGAACCACCAAACTAGCTGAAGTGGCCTGCAGTACTGCACCCTAACCACTGCACCCCCTCGGCTCTGCATTTAACCACTGCGCCACCTCAGCTTCAATTACACAAATTCTTTTGAGCAGTTAAAGACATTAAAGGTATATAAATTTATAT